TTATAAAAGACAGGCTCCATACTACTTCCAAAATAGATTTCACTAATGAGAAAGCTGTAACTATGTATGCCAATAATTTGAGCTATTAATTGATGGTTCAGAACAGTCTTATAGGATACTTTTAAAATTTTTTTAAAATACATTTATTTTGAAAAAGCTAAAAATTAAAGGTTATTTTCTTAGGACAGAGAGAAGGCACCTCACTTTAGATGAACAGGAATTCAAACCTGTCTGCAACCAAACTCTTTTAGGTTTGCAATACCTTTCAAATATAAGGGAGTAATTTTATATGAGAAACTAATATGGAAATCTACTGACATTTTGGATCTTACACAACATTTAGAAATAAAATTTGGTTAAATTAAATTTACACTGTTTTGCAACATATTAAATTTTAAAAACACACGTCTTCTGTGTGCCAGCAACCCTTAATATGGACAGGCAAAACCCAGAGGATAAGATTCAAGAGACTAACAATCCTAGAACCCCATTATATGGAAACAAGATTATGATTTAATGAATAGTTATTTCTATGTCATCTTCACATTACACAACTAAATATGATGACAGGTGTCATAATATCTCTTTTGAATCACTTCATTGGCAAGTAAAATTTAGAAGTCCCACCTCATGAAAAAAGTCATCACAGTTTCTGTTAATAATATAAAAGGTTCATGTCTACATGACCTTAATTCCACAGGTGAGCTTCCAGGAGTCTACACTGCACTCTGCTATGGCACAGTAGACTGGGAAGAAAGAGGGCAAGGAAGATCTGAGCTGGCAGTAATGTCACTTCAACTAGGTATCCTCCTTTCCAAGGTTCTTTCAGTACATCTGAACGAAAAGCAGGGCTGCCTGAAGGAGCATTTCATATTGCTGTTCCCACTGTTATGTATTCGCTTGTAAAAATATTAAAGAAATCACATTTTAAAGATCCTTACTGATCCCCTTTTTCAACGTTTAGCTAAGTGTGGCATAACAAATACATCACTGGCATTAACTATGAACACAAATCCATGGAAATTACTTTTTACAGCTATCTGGTTTAAATTCATAAAACTTTGCACTTCACATTACTGAATTTACAGAAAACACACAGAGTGGTGAAATTGCTTAAAAATAGCTTTAAACAAAAACAAAGACTTGTTTTCTTACAACGAAGTCCACTTTCAAGCACAGGTATGTACTGCCATAGCAATGCATACAGTTACATTTAATACACTGCAAGACAGTAAGCCATTTTAGGCTAGAAAATCTTACATTTTTATGCTAACAGCCAAAGAGATCATGCATGGCTGATATCAGATGTGGTTTTCTGGGAATCAAAACTCTACCATTAGATCTGTTGGCTATGTCTGCCTATGCATTTTTTACATTTAAGTGTTCCACCCTCTCAGTTTATCCCTCTGCTCCTTCTCTGTGTGGATCAATTTCCCTCATCTACAGGGCCTAAGACCATCAATGACCTGTGAGCTCATTGTCCTAACCAGATCTCTCCTTCCTGTTCAGTATCTCCACAGGATATCCATATCCCACGTGACACACTGGTTCTGGTATCTCACTGGCACAACATGAATAAAATTGGTCATTTTCCAGTAAAATCTTGAAAGTTCTCTCCCTCTCTGTGTATCGTCACCGAACTAATATTAGCTGGTGCCAAATGTATTCCATTCCTGCTACCATGCACTCACTGACTCCTCGTAGCCCATTGCTGCCAGCCCTTACTCCTCCTTATAGCTCCCCCTTGGGGGCTCAGCACACAGCAGAAAAGGCTCCAGGAATGCAGAACTGGAAAGCACATCTCTGAAGCAGGAGCCTCCTTGTATCCCTCGTCACTCATTTCAGCAGGCAGGCTGTTGATGCTCTTGTTTCCTCAACCCCATCAACCAGCACCACAGAAACAGCAGGCCTGCCTGGCAGAGACTGGACACTGTGAGGAACAGATGGCAGCAGATCTGAGCCTCTTGCATGAAGACCAGAAGCAGAAGAAACAGCTGGAGAGGCTCTCTAGGTGGTGCCCGGTCCAGGCTCCCCAAATGCACAGCTCTCAGCTGTGCCAGCCACCTCAGCCTTGTGTCATTAATGAAATGCATATTAAGATTCCTGGACAGCACAGCTATGGAATTTGGTGTGATCACATCTGCTCCCACGATTTCTGGATCATTTAGGAATCAGCTAGAAGTGGTAACAGAAAAGAATAAGTCTCTGCCTCCTGCTTCACCCCCACAACAAAATGACCAACAGGAATACCTAATTAACATAGACAACAACACATTGAAACCTGAGAATGAATTACGCTTCTGGGTTTAATTCCCTCCCACAGATGCAACTACACTTAAACCCACCCAGGAGCAAGAGAACTGCTGAGAAGATGCTTCAGGATCCTCTATGATTAATAATTTTTGGGACTATGTGCCCAAATTTGATAATTAGTTTTGGCAGCATCATTATCTAATCTCTAAAAAGTGATTTTATAAACCACATGCAAAAGTAGAAAGACCAAACCTAACACATCCTCATTTTTCAATTTCTTCAAGGAAAAAAAATGAAAAACATAAAAATTCTATATGCATAAGACCTGATAAGGCCAAATGAATGAGGAAATGTTGAAATAAAAAATAAAAGGGACTGCCAGTGGACATTAAACATTATAACTTATAAATCCACCTGGTGATGACAACTGGATCATAATGGACAGCTTTTCACGCATCCTGTTTTGCCTGTAGAAGAAATGTTCGCACATTAATCTGTTCAGTGGTACAGACAGAATAATGTCTTTTTTTTATTATTAATTTAAAACAAACAGGTATGACTTTTGCCTTCTAGCTGTGAACAGTTTTATCCTCTCTCAAATTTTAAATGGTGTTACATTTTTAAGTTCTGATGTGAAAGTTGAACAGCACTTTTGCACATTTGGACTGCTGCCTCCATATTTTGAAATTTCCATTTAAAAAGTTTCTCTCTTTTGATTTTCACTGCCAAATTCACAGTTCTCAAACAGAACACAATCAACTTTAGTTCACATTCAACTTTTTTTGCTGGGTCCCTTTCTACTCATGTGTGCAAATATCCAGCAATTTCTTGGAAGAGCAAAAAATATTTTAGTATGATTTGATAATCATATGTTTCTTCTGGAAAAATTAGCTTCATTTGAATAATGTAATTTCTCATTTTCAGACTAAGCAAATTAAAATTACACAATGGAATTTAATGAAAAGATCTCCCTTGAGTGAAAACATTTTCTATTGCATAAAGTCCAATAAAAATACAAGGGAGAAAAAAGGTATTTTCTTGTTTCTCCTGCTGCCTCCTTATACAAAAGACCAATTTTGGACCATTATTGCACATTTTATCTATAAGTTATCTAGCTTAATTGCATTTTCACTGAGGCCCCAGGAATACCTCAGAAAAAGTATCCCAGGACACCATACACTAACATGAAGTTTACTTCCTTGCATTTCCTTTCTTGCTAACCATGTTTGTATCTTCTCACCACTTATGTTCCTGCTTCTCCTCTGGTTGTCTCTAGCCTTTGAGGTGGTTTAACTGATAAAAAATCAGAAGGAATATCTGAAGAAAAAAATACAATTTTTTTCTACCTTATCAGTGAGCTAAACTGGCTCACCAGAAGATGAATCAGATTCAGAAATTACTAATATCATTCACAACAGACATCATTACATCTGTAGTCATCCCAGTATTTTGGATTGCAAACAGTACAATTAGTTACACTTTAAGAAAACCAATCATTTTCTTTTCCCCTATTTCACACCACTGACTGAGTAACTACATAAACCTTTTGGGCAACCTGGTCATTAAAACATATAAAATTAAGAACCCTTCAGTGGAAAAAAAAACAAACCTAACCAGGGAATTTGGAAAGGATGCACATATTAGGTAACTAGCACTTCTTGAAACTGAAAACACTTCTTGTACTACGTTCTTCTGTAGAAAATAGCAGTACACAAAATTCATAGAGGATCCATCTATTCAAAAAAGCTAAAACTATAGACAATGGCAGGACATGGTATCTCAGATACGCCTTCAGACACTGATGCAGATACATTATTTTGTCACAAAAAGAGATTAAGGCAACCTCATCAGCATAAGCAACATTTTACAGCACAGTTGGGACTCCAAGGTCAGTGTAGGTCAAGATTCCAGACTGAACACTGATAAGAACTCTCCACAAACTTATTAGGAATTTGAGCAAAATAATATTACCATGAAAACACACGGAGGTTTCTTACACTGAAAACCCCCACACACTGCAGCATCCAGGTGTGGCAATGCCCAGATCATTCCTCATTTCCAGTGTCATGACTGACTGTAGTATTTTATTTTTTGAATTAAATTCAACCTAAGTATAAATGGCACCAACTCGTACTGGAGATATTTAATCATCAACATTCAAAACTATGTTAACCAGATAAAAAACTGTACAAAGAAGGAAAAAAAATGTTCATCATGAACAGAAGCATGTATGAGCAACATAATATTCAAATACATTTATCCTCTATGGAATAATTGATGTATTAATACTTTGTATATTACATTAAGTTACTATTTCTCAAAAGGAACAAAGGATGAAGTAACCTCTCCACAGCTATCCAGTAACAAATACTGACCTCCTGTGAATTTCTCAAGATTTGACAATCTTTAGTAGAGAAAATTAATTGAAAAACTGGAAACCAGGCCTTGGCAAAGCAGCTGAAAGGCTCTCTTGAGCCACTTCTAACATACAGCTAAGTAATGATTGAAGCAAAGACAAGAAGAAAGTGTTCTTTGAAAAATACTTCATTTCTGACTGGGCAGTATTTAAGTTCTTGCTCTCCTTTAAAACAATACTGGAATTTAAGTACACAAGTTATACATAGTCAAGCTCTCTTCACTTACCTGAAGATAGTATGACTTCCAGGAATTTATAAAACATTATATTAATAAAGCATTATGCCACACATAAATAAGAAACAAATATATATATATATGTTTAGCCTTACTTCTCCATGTCTTAAAGGTGTGATAGCTCCTCTTGCTACCGCCATTCGGAACAATGTTTCTGTGGCCTGCATCAACAAACACAGAGACAAATTAGTTATTAAAAACAGACAACACAGCTCATGGCAGTTTGTTTCAACTTTTATAACATTTTTTTTATATTTTCTGCTATCTTCTAGCAACTATTTTACAATTGAATTGCTCCAGTAATTCCTTTAGAACAACATGCACAGTTTAGGCGAGGTGAGACATATTAAGGATTTTGGTCTCAGCCTAAGTAACAGTACATGATCCCTCAGGCAACATCACAGCTCTTCCAGAAGACTCTTTGAGCAGGTCAGAGATGCTCAGCCCCAGATAACTGTCCTCCAGAAGCTGTAAGGAACACAGTTGGGGTACTGGAGAAAAAATAACTACATTGCATTTCATAACTCAGGCAACTTAATTTCAAAATTGTTGTTTAATAATATACACTTAAACTGACAAATGAGCATGAAGAAATAGCATTATGCAGTGCTTTTCCTGAAAGCACCTGGGCCCTTCTTAATTCTAAGTAATGGGGATTATAAAACACAACATGGTCACGTGCAAATGGCAGGGAACACAAATTTGGGGAAATCTCCTATCTTTAATTAGGTTGAATACCTTTCTGTGTTAGTTGCCCCATCCTTTCTTCAATCCAGTGAGACAATTGGCACATACCATATCTGATACACATACAGGTTACTGGCTTAATACAGACTATAATAGGTTCTGTACCACCTATATTTCTACAAGCTGGTTGGAAGAAGGCGTGAAAAAAATCTGCAAATTACATAAACTCATGGATTGACACAACAACATACACATGAACAGATTTGTTTTAAAAACTTGTTTCCACAGCAAATAGTGAAGCTGGTTTCAATTTCAACTGCAAAAAAAACATGGTTTCAATATCTGGTTCTAATTAAAAAATTACCCTGACATTTAAGGATCTATGTTAAGGAGTAGTTAGCAGGCTGTTTGGGTGAAGAAAAAAAAAACAACAACAACAACAACAACCACATTTAGAAAGTTTATAAATAAAAGCAGTTTGCAGTAGCTGATCATCTTTCTAAACAGTAATTTAAGAAAAAGCATCTCAGTGTTTCCATGCTTGCACAACTTCCTGGGTCCCCACCATCACTACCTTAAGACAACTGTATCTCAATAAATGTGATATCAAAGACCTCTCTTGAGATTAATTCCTCAGTCTTCCAAGAGACAGATTAAGCGAGGTTTACTCCTTTCTACATAATTTTCAGTAGAAAATAACTTAATGAAAGATATTTTAATTACCTTATGTTCTCCCCACACACCTGTAAATTAACATGTACACTCCAGAACACTGGGCTGCAAAATCTATTACTTCATTTACATCCACAAGGGATGTAATGCCCACAGCCCCCAAGGATGTAGGGCAATGCTCCACTGTGATTCTGCTTCTCAAATCTTTCTTCTCTAAGAAATGAAGTGAACCCCACACAACCTTTCGTATTTCACAAAGTTGGGTTCTTTCACCAACATTTTTAGGGATGTTTCAACCAAATTGAATGCTCTGTCAATACAGCTTAGCTGCTTTTGTTTCTTTGAAAACCACTGGTGTGTGTGACTTCCTTTTCACATCTAGTAAAAGATCTCTCTTAGTACATCTGTACTCACCTCATTAATGCCAGATGTCAAAACCATCCAGAAACAAGGAAAAATCATGGCAATAGCAAATGCAACATCTCTGATGTCTTCCAATGGGCCACCCTTCACTGTGAAAATCAGTCCTACAAGCACAGCTTCCCACACAAACTGCATGGTGGGGATGAGGCCACCTATAGCCTTTGACTGGCAATTACAAGGCTGGAGAAAGCTATTGGGGGTATTGGCATGCAAAATCCAAGAGGAGGCTTAAAGAAGTTCATCTTTCTAAATAGTAATCAGTCCAAGCTTATTGTTGGTGTAAGCATTAAGGTGAAGGAGGTGGCAGTAAATAGTTCAGATCTGCATTCTTTTGACAAAGCAAACTAAGTGTGAACATGTGGAGATTCAGTAAGGCAATGTCTTACAAGGTAGAAGAGCATGATGCAAACATTCAGAGTATTTTAATACCTTCCCAGAGCTATAGTATCACAAAGACTAATGATAAAATTAATAAGCTAGTAAAATTTTGCCAGTCTTAAAATGTAAATTTATCTGCAACACTTCTGGTTTTTTAAAGCTTCCACACTGTCTTCAATTTCTATCTTTTTCCCTCTGCCCTGCAAATGCAGAAACAAAGAGAATCATACCGGACCACGTCCAAGAAAGTGTAGCAGCCCTGGGAAGGGGTCTGAACACAAGTGTTATAAGGAGCAGCTGAAGGAGCTGGGGGTGTTTAGTCTGGGGAAATGAAGGCTCAGAAGGCACCTTATCACTCTCAACAATTGCCTGAAAGGAGGCTGCAACCAGGTAAGGGTCAGTCTCTTCTCCCAGGTAAAAAGTGACAAGACAAGAAGAAATGGCCTCAAGTTGCACTGGGTGAGAGGTTTAGATTGGATATTAAGAAAAGCTTCTTCCTGGAAAGGGTTGTAAGGCACTTGAACAGAGGCTGCTATGGGAAGTTGTTTGAGTGACCATCCCTGGAGGTACTTAAAAGCACCTGGGGACATGATTTAGTGGTAGACTTGGCAGTGCTGGGTTAATGGATAGACTCTATGACCTTAAAGGCTTTTCTCAACCTTAACAATTCTATGATTCTCTCTGATCCTACTCAAGTTCCCTTGAACCAGCATGTCTAGACCCATTTTCAACATCTCAAAGATTGGAGCTCTTACAACCTCTCTGATCAACACGTTTCAGCATTTCCAAACAACATTTTAAGTGACAAGCCCACCAAAAAAATGCAGTTTACAGATGACCTGTAAATTCCTTCTGCTCCCCAAAGAAACACAGCCCAATTCCTCAAATTCTCTCTAAGTGGTGGAAATGTTTTGTGCCAGCCAAGTGGAAGGCTATCCTGCAGTGATCCTTCTAGCTGTGACAAGCCAATATAAAAGGAAATCCAAAAGCACAGAACATCCTGCTGGCATTTGAGCTGCACATGTTGGATATGAAAGAATAAGCATAAGGGTGGAGAAAGTCAAAATATACATGGACTGTATTTTTTTTTTTGAACATTAGAGACAAACTTCATCATAGTTAATGTTCCATAAAGGATAGAGGAAAAAAAACCCTGCATGAAGAACCACAACAGCAATATAAAAACAACAATATTCTTGCACTCCTCATATATTTTCTAAAATTCTATTTATGACAATATCTTGCTGAGAGTAAAAGGATCCCTACAGGACACCAAATTTACTTTGACTAAAAATCCAGTCTATTGAACACATCTTGCCTGACATATCCATGGTATGTAATTTCAAATCTACCAAAGTTACCACTATAATAATAATCAATATTCATGCTGCAAAATATTTGCATATAACTTGTTTCAATACTGACTAAATCTATTCAAGACATTTGAGTTCAAAGGATTTAATTTTCAATAATGTGTTAAAAGATACAAAGTATATTGAAACAGCAAGTTTATTTCATTGTATTAAATCTGCTAAAAATATGCAGAGTATAGCTCTGTCACAAATCAAACTACCATAACTGTCCATTGAAGAAAAAATAATACTATTCTCAAAGAAACTGCTGACTAGGAATTTAGCTAATTTTTAACTGTTGTTCACTAAATACTACAATATAATCAGATATCTTAGAAAGCTGTAAAAACTAGAGATTTATTTGCATTCAATTCACTGTGAATAAGCCTTCCACTCAGCCATGGGAGTCAGAGGTTCACAAGAAAGTAAACTGTCAACACATGGTGTTAGTGATCTCAGTGTGAACTAAACGTGTTGCCAAGATGATTGTTACTGAATCCTAAAATTGCTGCTCCTTACAAAGAACGTGTAGTGCGTTACACTACATGGGAGGTGAAATGGCAGCCTGACGTGTGCTACCACTCTGTAACGCCGTGCAAGCTCTAATGTCATCTCCAGACAAAGATGACCAACTGTTCCCACTCCAACAAAGCAGTTGCTTCTGATCAAATTCTTTGCAAGTCAGTTGGAAAAAAAAGAAACCACTGATTGTATGAACCAGAACTAAAGTGGAAGATAATTGTGCATTATTGATGGAAGTGATAGAAAAGACAGAAAGAGAAACACTGCATTAGATTCCAAATGTCTTGACTTTTCTAGGTATGCACAAAATAAAAATGGTCTCACATAATACTTCATCGGAATAGTTACTGTTTTACCAAAGTTAAAACTGCAAATGCAAGCAGTGAAGAGATTGATCACAGAAGTTAATGAATTTAGAAATGCACGCTTTTTAATCACCTGAAAAATTTTGGCATCTACTTCTATATGTGCATTAAAAAAACCCAAAACAAAACAGAAAACAAAAACCCTAATTGACTTAAAATTAAAATTATACAAATTGTTTATAAGAATAAAGAAGGATGGAATACCACAAAAGACATTTTTTCTCTCCTATTAGGTTTGCTGATCTTGGCTAATAGCTAGCTGACAGCTCTGGCCTGTAAAATTTGTACTTCTTCATGAAAAGCAAATTACATGAAAAAAGGGTTTTAACAGTCTTTCTGAAATCATTAATAACAATCTTTCAACTTGATTATATATGAACTATTGTTATAGCCCTTATTAGCTAACCATCACAGAACTTTTGAAAACAGGAGTGCTAGATAAAAAAGATCTGGGGAGAATCAGAAGCAATAATGACTAGGAAAACATGGAATTTTTTATTCCTGAGTTCTGTCCACAAAAAGTCAAATGTAAAACAACTGTCTGCATTTAAACCTTACTCAAGGTGACAGATTTAACTGAGGAGCTTAATTATTGTTGTTATAACTTTTAATGAAATTACCATAATACCGAAATAGAATGTGTTGCTATTCAATATAATCAAGATTTAAAATATTTTTAAAATACAATACTGAAGCTGAACTGAAGCTTTTAAAAAAGACAGATATGTAAATTCCTACTCTCTGAAAGAGACTAAAAGTTCA